ACAAGCAAGATCAAGCAAAATAATCCACAAAAAGCACTTCCAATCTAACTTCCAAATTCAGATCCAAAACCAAACGAAAATTGAATGGTGAATTGAAGATAATGGAGATGAATGATGGAGGTTTAGCTCTAGAATTCTATGATTCTAATGAAGAATCAAAGAACTCAAGTGAAAAAGCTTTAATGGAGGTTTTGGGAGTGAAAAAGTGGAGAGAAAATTAAGAGCAAATTCTCAAGAATAAGTGTGAAATCTGAAAATGAAGGGTAATCGTGTGAGGTTTGGAGCAAATTCACTTAAATAAGCTCTAGGTTTGGGATCAAAATATGGTTTGGAATGTGGATTAACATTTGGAGTGGAAATTAGGAGTGGAATTAGGAATGGAGTGTTTGAAATTTGGAGGGAAATGGTGAAAATTGAATCAATTCTAGATCTGTGCATGATAATCATGTGAAATCAATGGTCAAAAATGATTGGGAAAATTGCACATGCTGAAAATTCAAACTCTGTGGAAAATTTCGCCTGAAGTAACCGGTTACCCTATATGCAGTAACCAGTTACCACATTCAAAATTTGCCACATTTAGCGCCAAATGGAGGGAATCATGTACAATTGACCATTGCCACTTGTTCTGAACCCTGTTAGGCCTCTGAAACCTGCTCTTGAATATCATAACTATGAGAACGCCTAAGATAGCTTATACACCGTCTCTTGGGATGAAAATAATCTGCTGAATAAAATAAAATCGATCTGCTCGATTGTTAGGGCAAAAATAAATGTCGAAGCCTCTGACACTCACTGTTTAGACTCTTGCAATAAAAGGGAACCCTGAGCCACAGAAATACCTTGATCCCATGTCTCAAGAACCAATGTTATGATATGCAGAGATGTAAAATACAGAGAAACATAAGCTAGTTACGGTTAAACAGAAAGGGCAAATTTTGGGGTGCTATAGGAGGCTGTTTTGACAACATCATATATGATAAATAGATGTCCCTCGACTGCCTTGAGAATGAAGACACCTGAAGAAGTTTGGTCGGGACATCCACCTAGTCTCAACAGATTGAGAGTATTTGGTTGCGTGGCCTATGCTCACATTAGGCAAGACAAGGTCAAACCTAGAGATCTGAAATGCATGTTCATGGGATACCCTGAAGTATTCAAAACTTATAGGCTATGGTGCATAGAGCCAGGTCACAGGAGGTGTATCACCAGTCTAGATGTAGTTTTCAATGAATCAGAGATGGCTTTCAAGAAAGCTGATGATGCGCTAGAACAGGAAGAGATTCCTGTTGAGGTGGAACATGTTGATGCTGAATTGCATACTCCAGATAAAGTCGAAGAAGACACATAAGATGTTGTCGAAAATGAGAAGACTGATAATGACTACCTACTAGCAAGAGACAGATCGAGGAGAGTCATCAAGCCACCTCAGAGACTTGGGTATGCAGATCTTATAGCTTATGCCTTAATCTCTGCAAGTGAGGTTCTAGACGAAGAACCTAGGGCCTATGAGGAAGTTATGAGGAGTTAAAAGAAGACTGAATGGCTGAAGGCCATGGATGATGAGATGAAATCTCTTCATGATAACAACACCTAGGAACTAATTAAGAAACTTGCTGGAGCCAGGTTAGTCAACTATAAATGGATTTTTAAAGTTAAGGAAGGGATCAAAGGAGTGGCGTCGAAGAGATACAAGGCAAGATTGGTCGCTAGAGGGTTCACTTAGAAAGAAGGTGTCGACTTTAATGATGTATTCTCTCCTGTTGTGAAGCACAGATTCATTTGAATGTTGCTTGCCACGATGGCATAGTTCAACTTTGACCTGGAAAAGATGGATGTGAAGATTGTGTTCTTGTATTGTGATCTAGATGAAACAATCCTTATTAGGCAACCTGAAGGGTATGTCGAAAAAGGGAAGGAAGATTATATATGCAAACTGAATAGATCTTTATATGGACTAAAACAATCTCCTCGACAGTGGAATAGGAGATTCGACAAGTTCATGGCACGTATAAGTTTCATTAGAAGTCAGTTGGACCACTGTGTTTACTTCAAATTTCGACCTGGTAATTCATTTATTATTTTGTTGCTTTATGTGGATGATATTCTAATAGCAAGCAACAATGTCAAAGATGTAATGAGGGGGAAGACTGAACTCTATAAGGAGTTCGGCATGAAGGATTTGGGAGCTGCGTCTAGAATTCTTAGGATTGACATCCGAAGAGATAGAAAGCAGTCAAAATTATGCTTATCTCAATAGGCATACCTACGAAAGATTCTCGAAAAGTTTGGTATGTCGAATTCAAAGCCTGTTGTGACTCCGACAAACCCTTAATTCAAGCTGAGTATAGATCAATGTCACAGTACTGATGTCGAAATAGCTTATATAAATAGCATTCCATATGCTAATATAGTGAGTTCTTTGATGTATGATATGGTCTGTTCTAGACCCAACATATCATATGCAATAAGTCTTGTAAGCAGGTACATGGCGAATCCTGGAAAGACTCACTGATAAGCATTGAAGTGGACTCTAAGGTACATAAATGGGTATCTGAATAGAGTCCTAATTTATGGTGGAGCCTTGGGTGAAGATAGTAAAGCAGCAATTAAAGGATGTGTCGACTTGGATTATGCAGGTTGTATGGATTCCAGAAAATTTATTTCTAGATATGTGCTCACAATGTTTGGGACATCAATCAGTTGGAAAGCAACACTTCATAAGGTCGTTGCCTTATCAACCACTGAAGCGGAATATATCGGCCTAAATGAAGCTGTGAAGGAAGCATTGTGGCTTGAAGGTTTTGCAAAGGAGCTGAAACTTCAAGATCGAGTTATCATTGTTAAATGTGATGGTCAAAGTGCAATACACCTGTTGAAGAATTCAACCTATCATGAGCGAACCAAGCACATTGGTGTGAGGCTGCATTTTGTCAGAGGGGTAATCGAGCGTGGAGAAGTCCAAGTGCTGAAGGTTTCGACATATCATAATGCTGCTAATATGATCACCAAGACGTTGCTCAGTCGTAAGTTTTTCCACTGTAAGCAGTTGATAAAGTTGTATGAAGAAAGCTAGTTTGTTTCTTGATGTTATAGAGTTATATCCAAGGTGGAGATTTGTGAGATTTTGGATCGAACTCTAGTATGGTCGAATGGTAGCTTTCGGTTCGACAGGAATTAAGCAGAGGTCAAAGTCTGCTCACATGCTGTTGTCGGAGTAATGCGTGTTGTAGTCGAAGTTTGTTCGAATATGCATTAGTCAATATTGCTAGGTTTGTTAGCATGTTGAATTGGGTCTTGCTTGTAAGCCCAATTGTTTAAGTTAGCTTGTAGTCTAAGTTAGCTTGTAATAGGTAATTGTTAAAAAGTTTGTTAGGTTAGTGTGCTAGTCTCTCATCTTGTATAAGAAAAAATAAAAAGATAAAATCCTAATTCAAGAGAAAGAGATTATTTGTTATTCTTGTTTGATAGAGAAAGAAAAGAATAGCAGTTTATAATCAATCCTTGTTGTTTCTTGTTGTTTTCTTTGTTAACCCTACATAACTCTTATGTGTTTTTTGATTATAAAGAAACTGTTTATATTTTATTTCAAGACATCATATTCACAATAATTGAATATTGCCACGTCAAGATCTATTAATGACATTCAATGTCAGAAATCAATTATTTGAATGAAAATTTTAAAAAAAATTCATTTCTTCAAAATAAATTTTTAAAAGGGCTAAAAATAAAATATGAGACAAACATATTTAATCTATGTATTATTTACAGTTCGTTAATAAACGCATTCCCCATATCATCATCTATAATAAGGATTTTGAACATCCTCTTATAATAAAGAGGTGAAAGGTAATAAAAAAGTACTATTATATTCTAGAACATGTTCAACTTCATCTTATACGGTGGCAATATGATATCAACTTACCTAGCCGCTACCTTTGCCATCCAGATACATTTTCATTTGAAGTTAAAATAATCCCATTCCATAACATTACTTAAATTAGTTAAGTTTTTTTAAACAAGAATTAGTTAAGATTCATATTATGTTTATTTACACATTTATTTATCGTATCGTCATTTATTTTATCAATTAATCCCATAGATTCTCTTTTTTCTTTTAAAGAAATTGCAAATAGATTTTAATACATTTTTTTCGACAATATGATTTTCACTATCTTTTGTTAAGTGAAGATAACAAAAATAAAAACCTACACAAGTAGACAATGAAAACCAATACCGAACAAAATTAATTTCGAAATAAAATGACTTTTATCAATCTAATCACTTTCAACAAGAACTAAAATTTAATTTAAAATTGACTTAATTGACCTAATTAGATAAATTCTGATATCTATGCGTTTAAGTTGTGTATTAGAATTTAAAAGTATAAATTATTTTAAAATAAAAAATTGACTAGTTTTATTAATAGAAGAGATACTATATGAGTGGCCTGCAGAGGAAGATGTGCGTCAGTTTCGGTTTTCCGGGTCAAAGTTTGTTACACTAACAATATTGTACCACCAAAAGTAAACTCCATCCACTTCCTTTGACTGGCCAGTGGCTACACTATAGAATATTGCATATTTCTCAATTTGGTTTAAAAGCCATCCTTTTAAACAACTAACTATACCCAATTCTTCAAAATAATTTTATAATAATCCTATATGGATTTTTTTAATAAAAATTTACTACTAATCTAGGCAGCTAGATCATTACAGTTGTAATATTTAAATTTCATAGTTTCATGAAACGTGCATTTCATATATCAGAGAAGTGTAAAAGTTAGATACGACAAAAGGACATTAGGTAGTCATCGTAGAAATCAACGCAAAAGGAAGTTGGTGTGCATTGAAGCAGCCAGGACAAAACACAATTTTTCTGTACAAATACAAAGTGGGGCAACGAGTTTTTCACCGAATGCATTAGGTAGAACCAACGTGATTTGTTAGATAAGAATTCAATCTTTCTCTCTCATTTTAGGCATGGCACTACCATCTACCATGAAAATCGACATCTCCAAGTTCTTCAACAAACTCTGCAACAGAATAGCAATTTTACTGATATTCGTCTTAGTAGAATTCATAATCCTCATTTGGAAACTAACATCGTCGGATACACAACCAATCACAACTCGGAGATACCTCAAATTCATCGAAGAAAAGAATCCAACAATTCGCTACACGAAAAAGTCTAATAAGAAGCCATTGTTATTAAACGTGGATTGTAGTGTGTGCTTATGCGATTTCGAAGAAGGAGAGAAAGTGAGAAGGTTGAAATGCAAACACGCGTTTCATAAGGATTGTTTGGATAAATGGTTGCAAGATTATTTGGCTACGTGTCCATTATGTAGGGAAGAGGTTTTACCCGAACATGTTGTGTCGAAACATCGGGAGCATCGGAATCATCGACAAGGTAATGTTGAAGGGAATCATGAGAATCTTCCGTATGTGTTGTTCTTGCTGCGTGGTGGGAATACTAGTCAGTGGCGTAGATATGTATGAAATTCAAATTTGTAATTGATCCTGATTCATGTAGCTAGCTAGCTTAAACAATTGTTTAATTTTTACAACAAGATACAATGGGGCTTGTTCTTCTTCCACTTTCTGGGTTTCTTTGTTTTTTTTGTTTGTATATATAAGATACTGCTTAGTTATAAATAAATTCTTCATTTTTTCAAACATCAGCAATTCTTTCTTTTTTTTCTCCCCCTATGTAATTGACAGTTAATATAAAAAGAGCATTCTTCTTCTTCTTTTATTTGACTTTAACAAAGCTTCTTTAAAGAAATGTTTAAATACGGTAGAACACAAGAGGATAATAGAGATTAGTGAAATTATTTGTCCGACAAGTTAAATTCACCATGGATGAAATTATAATCACTTTTAGTTAGGAAGTTAAGATGTAGTTAGAAGTTAGTTATCATACTTAGCTAACTACAGTTACATTATATAGTAAATAGTTAAGCATCATAAGATAGATTTGTGTAATTCTTCCTTTTATTAATGCAATGCTAGTTGTTTAACATTGTTAAATGGTGTTTTAGTTTAACTTTTTCATGACATCATCACATCTCTTTCACAAATCTCAATTTGTTTTTCATCTTTCTCCATTGTCCGTTCTTTATTTCTCGTTTTCTAATGTCAATTGAAAGCTCTTCAAGCACCTATAGTGGCCATGGTCCTGCTTCAAATCTCAATAAGGGGTATCAAAATGATACTCTCAATCCCTATTTCATGCATCGCAACGAAAATCACATATTGGTGTTAGTTATGATGGGAAATTAAGACATAATAATAGATCAATATGCAGCGGATATAAGACTCTTCAAACCGGTAGAAACTTAGAGGATCAACAACAAATATAAGACGAAAAATCGAACAAATAAAGGCACAAAAGAACACCGATATTTCTAACGTGAAAAATCTCTCAATATGAGAGTAAAAACCACGATTCGTTCAGACCAAAAAAAATAACTCTACTATAATCAATTAAGGGTACAAGAGAGTCTTAAAGTGATTTAAAAACCAGTGCTAACAACCGCAAATCACAAAACAAACTAACTTACAAATAAAAATCAAAAAATTGAAATTTTTTTCCAAATTTGCAGCTTCAGTGCGAAGCAAATAACTTTCACCTCAGACGTTGTTTTAAAATTATGAACGGTAAAAAGTTAGATATATGTGTTACGAACCTGCCCATAAAATTTGAGTTTGATCCAATTCGGTTAACAAATCAGGGATCATTGATTTAGTGAGATTGGTTGCTGAAAAAAGGAATGAGTTTCTCTCCTCTTTTCTCTCTTTTGAATCCTTATTTTTTCTCTATCTCTCTCAATCCTAAATTGATCCTCTTCACTTAAATAAGTGAGACAAATGGACTAATCATATTTGGGTTTTTTTCCATTTAGAAAAGGGGTTCAAACCCAACAAATCTCCCCCTTACAACTATGTGGAGGAAACCGTCAAACCGATGATATCACAACAAGCTTCAAATTTATCTCTTTGTAATGCTTTAGTCATCATATCAGAACCATTATCATTTGTATGAACTTTACTAACTCCAACAACTTACCATCCAAAATACCATGTATCCAATGATATCTCGCATCAATGTGTTTGGACCTATTATGAAAAGTTGTATTCTTACCAAGATGAATAACGCTTTGACTATCAACAAATAACACATATTTGTCTTGAACAAAACCAAGCTCCTGTGAAACTGTCTTCAACCATAGTAACTCTTTGCATTCTACGGTAATTGCAATGAACTCAGCCTCTGTAGTAGATAGTGCTACACACTTTTGCAATATGGACTTCCAGGCAATAGCTCCCCCTACAAATTTAATCATGTAACCCGGAGTGGCCTTTTTGGAATCAATGTCTATGGCCATATTATAGTCAGAGTACCCTACTAGAGTAGGATTATCTCCTCTAAAACAAATCCTCGTAGAAGTAGTACCGCGAAGATACCTTAAAATCCATTTTACAGCATTCCAATGCTCTTTACCTGGATTTAACAAAAAACTATTGACTGTACTAACAACATGTGTTATATCTGGTCTTGTGCACACCATTGCATACATCAAACTACCCACAGCAGATGCATAAAGAACATGTTTCATATTAAACGGTTCATCTTCACTTGAAGCATTTTGATTAAACTCAACTTGAAATGAGCAGCGAGAAGAGTGCTTATTGCCTTAGAACTTTCTATTTTGAATATTTGCAACACTTTTTTGATATGATTTTCTTGTGACATACAAAGTTTCTTCTCTTTTTTGTCACACATGATTCTAATGCCAAGAATCTGTTTAGCTGCTCCCATGTCTTTTATGCCAAATGACTCTCCCAATTGCTTCTTTAACATGTTAATGTTAGAAATACTTTTCCCTAAAATAAGCATATCATTAACATATAACAATAGGATAATTAAGTCATCATTAGAAAATTTTCTAACAAAGACACAATAATCTGAAGTAGTCTTCTGGCATCCTTGATCACACATAACAGACTCAAACTTCTTGTACCACTGCCTTGGAGCTTGCTTCAACCCATATAAACTCTTTCTTAATCTACACACATGATCTTCTTTACCTTTAACTTGAAATCCATCAGATTTTTTCATGTAGATCTCTTCCTCCAAATAACCATGAAGGAAAATTGTTTTCACATCCATTTTCTCAACCTCTAAATCAAGAGTAGCAGCCAAACTCAACACTGTTCTAATTTATGACATCTTCACAACAGGTGAGACAATATCATTAAAGTTGCTCTCATGTTTAACTCTATAAATCCATTTGTTTTCCAAAGCCCTTTTGCCTTTAGGAAGCTTCACTAAATCATAAGTGTGATTATCATGCAATGATTTCATCTCATCATGCATTGCATCCATCCACTTTTAATTTTCATCACTTTCTATGGTCCCTTAAAAATACCCGGGTTCACTCTCATCAGTCAAAGTCACATACTCGTCATAATTATACCTTGTAGAAGATTGTCTCTGTCTGCTAGACCTCCTAGGTTGAATTTGAAATGATTTTGGAGTTTCACCAAGATTCTCATCATGTCACAAATTTCTCTCCCTTTCACCATCATTAGTTGGAATATTTACCTCATCTCCAAGTTGTTGATCATTAACATAATCATATGGCTCACCATTGTGATCATCACCACCAATAGCATCCAGATTATGACTAGATAACCGAATTGGATCAACATTAGACAAACTAATATCTTTCTTGGGTGTAGCCTTCTCTACCTTATAAATATCTTCAATAGTTTTGTCTTTCATGAACACCACAACACGAATTCGAATAAGCTTCTTCCCTACGGGAACATACAACCTGTAGCCAAACTCATATTGCCTATAGCCGATGAAGATACATTGTTTTGACTTTGCATCCAACTCGAATATTTCATCCTTTAGAATATGCGCAAAAGCCTTACAACCAAAGACTCTCAAATGATCATACTTGACATTCTTTCCAAACCAATTTTTTTATGAAACTTCATTGTTCAAAGCAGCAGTATGAGTAAGATTAAGAACATGCACTTCCGTGTAAACTGCCTTGCCCCAATAATGATTAGGCAACTTAGCTTCAGAGAGCATACACCTTACTCTCTTAATTAGTGTTCGACTCATCCTCTATGCTAAACCATTCAATTAAGAAGTTTTAGGAGTAGTATTTTCATATGGAATACCATGCTACTTGCAATAGAAATCAAATGGTCCATAATACTCTCCACCATTGTTTGAACGAACACATTTCAGCTTCTTTCATGTCTGCCTCTCAACCAAATAATGGAATTCTTTGAACTTTTCAAAAAACTTGGTATTTTGTCTTCAAGGCATAAACCCATAGTTTCCTGGAGCAATCATCAATAAAGGTAACAAACTAAAGTCTACCACTAAAATATTTTACCTTTAATGGACCACAAACATCAGAATGTACCAACTAAAGCAACTTTGACTTCCTTGAGGAAGGATGTCTCTTGAAAGATACTCTAGTCTGCTTACCAGTCATGCAATGAAAACCCTTCTCCAAATCTACATTCTTTAATCCAAGATGAACATCCTTTTTGGCCAAAACATTTAGCCCCTTTTCACTATTATGACTAAATCTTCGGTGCCACAAAAATGCTTCCATGTTGATAGCATTCACACTGTCCCTAGCAACCAAAGCTTTTGTCAGATATAATTTAGAAAGCTTTTCCCATCTAGTCATAACCAAGTTATCTTTGTTGAGTTTCCACATTTCAGAACCAAAGTGATTATCATAACCACAATCATATAGCATATGCACAGAGATCAAATTAAAGCGGATATTTCAAGCATGTTTAACAACTCTAAGCAACAATTACATTCCCATATTGGTTTACAAGCAAACATCACCAACACCAATTACCTTAGATACATAATCATTATCCATCTTCAAAACTCCAAAATCACTAGTAGTATAAGATGTGAAGAAATAGTTCCTTGGTGTAACATGAAATGTAGCACCATTGTCAACTATCCACATGCTCTCGCCTGATACAAGATTAACAGACTCATGATCACTGAGAATAACAAGATCATCACTAGTAGCATTAGTAACACGATCATCGTCGTGATCTTCGTGGTCTCTTTGTTTAGACTTATCCTTCTTACCTTTGTTATCTCTTTTCCATTAATAGCAGTACTTGTATACGTGTCCTGTATTGTGACAATAATGACACTTTAGATTCTTGTATCGTGGCTTGGAATTGCTTCTGTTATTCTCTCTACCACCATTCGGTTCCTTTTTATGACTTCTCCCCTTATTTTCAGTGATAAGTATATTGGGTTGAGATGAATAACCATGTGTCTTCCTTCTCATATCCTCATTAAGAATACCACCCTTAGTTGTTTCCAAAGAAACAACACCTATAAGAGAAACCTGAAATGTATCCTGTAACGCATTTTGTGAATCGGAGACCAAGCTATTACATTAACTTGACTCGTAAAACAAAAGATGTCACCA